ATCTAGTAGTCCAATCTTGGAACTGTTTGAAATTATGGATTTTACGGGCCAAACTCTATAAGAAAATGTTTTTTTCCCGGTCGATCTCAGACAATTTTTTGTTCCGGCCTCAAAAAAAGGCAGTGTATTACCTTCCATTTTTACCAAAAATCGACTGCTCCAAAATTTCTCGGGGAAACACTTTTTCTCACTAATTTTGGTGCGTAGAATTCAAAAGGATTCGTACTTTTTCGATCAGACCCCTCAATCAAAAGTTATGGACTAAATACAAATTTCGACTATACAGGGTGACAATTTGAAAACTTACCACCCCCCATATCTTAGTAAATAAACGAGATATTTAAAAAAATCAAAATCGTTTCGGTAATTCGGAGGGGGAATCACAATGACATAGTTGGCGACGCACCCCCTCACACCCCCTGCGCCCTAGCCACCCCAACTTTTAAATCTTAAATAGTGACTCCCCATGTGTGATACGTCATTGGAAAGCTCTGAAAAAATGCTTTCCAACCATACCAAATAGTATTACATTTAGGTTAGTAATTATCGTGCAAATCAAAAAATAGACATGGAAAATCGTATTTAACTTGAACTTCCAAAGCCGACTCGACAGCAACTCATTTTTGATCGCCAGTTATAATCTATTCTCAAACTCTTGTCGAACCTTTTCAAATGTTGGTTTTGCAATATTTCGACATTCTTGAATTATTCTCTGTCTTAGTTCGTCTATGTTCGCCGGTTGCGTTTTAAATACGACAGATTTCAAATGTATCATATTAGTTTATTTTTTGATTTGCACGATAATTACTAACCTAAATGTAATGCTATTTGGTATGGTTGGAAAGCATTTTTTCAGAGCTTTCCAACGACGTATCACACATGGGGGGTCACTATTTAAGATTTAAAAGTTGGGGTGGCTGGGGCGCAGGGGGTTGGAGGGGGTGCGTCGCCAACTATGTCATTGTGATTCCCCCACCGAATTACCGAAACGGATTTTGATTTTTTTAAATATCTCGTTTATTTACTAAGATATGGGGGGTGGTAAGTTTTCAAATTGTCACCCTGTATATATATAAAGTTCAAAGAGCTGTAAGTTTTGATCTAGTAGTCCAATCTTGGAACTGTTTGAAATTATGGATTCTACGAGCCAAACTCTATAAGAAAATGTTCCCGGTCGATCTCAGACAATTTTTTGTTCCGGCCTCAAAAAAAGGCAGTGTATTACCTTCCATTTTTACCAAAAATCAACTGCTCCAAAATTTCTCGGGAAAACACTTTTTCTCACTAATTTTGGTGCGTAGAATTTAAAACGATTCGTACTTTTTCGATCAGACCCCTCAATCAAAAGTTATGGACTAATACAAATTTCGAATATATATATATATAAAAAGTTCAAAGGGCTGTAACTTTTGATCTAGTAAGTCCAATCTTGGAACTGTTTGAAATTATGGATTCTACGGGCCAAACTATAAGAAGTGCGTAGAATTCAAAACGATTCGTACTTTTTCGATTAGACCCTCAATCAAAAGTTATGGACTAAATACAAATTTCGACTATATATATAATATGTTTCTAGGTTTCTTAGTCATAAACAAGATATATCGTTCAAAATTCAACCATAAAACCGTAAAGATCGTAAGTTCTAATTATCTTCGGTGATGGTGAAAAGAAGGAGGGTCTTGAAAACGTCCATCTTCACAACGTTAATGACTTTCACAGATAATAAGGAACTGGGGAGCTGATTCGTAAACACGTTTCACTTGTGCTATGGGTAAAATGCCCGTGAAGGCTTAGGGATATCAATTCTGCACGGACCGCGAACAGAACATCACCGCCGGCCCAACCCCCGAAGCCAAATTAAGCCTAGGAAATGAAACTAATCACTACCGCCGCCGCCACCGACTCCATTACTTCGATCATAACGGCTACGCGAGCAAAGGAAGCTATCGACATACAGTGGAGGCCTCCTGGACGACCCAAAGCCCTTCATAAAATCGAGGAATCAGCAAGCGCAAAACCCGTATAACACAGTCATCATCTTGGTTACCCTAGGGACGTGCCTCTGAACATTCACAGACGCGCCATTCCACGTAATTACTAAGTAAAAAAAAGGGTATTGAATGAATTCTATTTCAAATAGTACTACACTGCCTATTGTACCTAAGCCAACTTAAAACATTTCGTCGTAGGGAATTTTTTTAAAAATTAGGTTGGCTATACTTTTAAAGACTGCCCCAAGGGCCTCTTCGTAAGCGGCCCTGACATCCAAATAGATCTTCCTCCAATTCTCGTTGAGCAGCTTATTCATCTCATCCCCTAACTGTCTCTCCCCACTGAAGAGGTTTTCAAAGTTGAACTCCACCAGGCCCGGCACCAGCGAGACGTTGAACGTCTTCAACTCCATGTACTTTTTGCCGTCCTTCTCGAACATTTCGCCGATCATTGTAAACGTAGCCTTCAGGTCCTCTGTAAGAGCGCCATTTTAGTTTGCGTGATTCGGCCTCGACCTACCTAGATCCACGGCGCAGTCTCCTTCGCCGTTTATGGGGAGCATGAGTATATTGCCGTTCAGGCTGTACTGGGCGTTCATGTGTACGTCTTTTATGGTTAGGTCGGCCACCACCTTGAACTCGTCATCCGTGATTACCGCGCTGAAAATAAAAATTTTCAACAAAATTACCTCCCCCCTCCCGCACCCCACTCCAACTTGTCAAAAGAGGGAATGCCAAAAGAAAAAATCAGATCCACGTGGAGGAGGATCCAAGAAGCTCTACTTACTCGACACGTTCGACCTTGGCGGTTTGCACGTTGTGTATCTCCACGTTTTTGTAATTCTGCACAACGTGGACTGCGCCCTTTCCCTCGCCAATCGTCAGACTCTCAATCCTAATCGGCTCGATGCTTTCGAATTGAAATTCAGGCAAACCTAAGCAAGGGGAGGACTTGCAAGGGGTAAAAACGGAGAGCACTCGACTTACCCCTCTTCAGAATCGGCAGTGCGTCTTGAATCGCCGACTTCATGCACTCGTTGAGGTTCGGAGTCGATCGCTCGCATTTTTGAAAGGCTAAAAATCGAGATCGGTCACGAGCGTCGCTTACGTTCGAGAAACTTACGCAAATCCAAACCGCGTACCGCCACTGTAACGCAGGTCAGAAGGAGCACGGCGGTCTTCATGGTTTTACGGGAGAAATGTACCGCCGTGCTCTTTATAACGCACACTTTACTCGCGTGTGTAATTACCATCATCACGAAATGTAAACAGTAATTGTTAATCGTTCCCGAAAAGGATGTTTATTTTTGCTAATTGCATATCGAGCACAATAATTGGCAATTAGCGGCTACGGATGATTATTTACTCAAACCCAAGGTTTTAGTTTGCATGATCGTGTATCATCTTTTTTTTTGTTTTCGAGATCTTCACCCTTTTTTCCTTCGTGTCTATCCTGGCTCGTTCCTCCGTCTTGTCGCTTTTTCCTTACAGTTTTCTCTTCTCGTCACCACTACCCCTTTTTTCCTACAATTCCCCCAAGTTGTACGTTAGAAAAAAACTCACGCAGAGTAAAGGTCTGATGTGGCAAGTCGGACCTCTACTCTGCCTTGTTTTAAGGCCGTCAATTTTGCGTGCCCTCGGTCCATTCGGCATTAAATTAGGCCTGTTAGTAAACTTATAATTTTAAAATTGGCAACGTTACGAGAAATATCCTCGCGAACGTGTGCGATGTCAAGAACCAACTCAATTGAGTGAAATCTATCCGAATACGGCCAAAAACAATAGATTTTTTTCGGATCGCTAATTTTGATATTCCTGAAGGAATCGACCCATGAAGATTATTGCATGAACAGATTTTGTACTGTATTTATTGATACCTAACTAGACAGTGTTGTTAAAGTATTATTGAAAAGCCGTCACAGAAAAACTCATTTAGGAAACAATACGTCGTAAGGGATTTTGGAAAATACGGCGTTAGCCCCCGTTTTATACGCTTCCTCATAAACAACCATGTATTTCTTAGATTCCTTCGCCAGTATGGATTTCATGTTCTTCGTCAAATAGTTGGTTAACAGTTCTCCAGACCTGTCTTCCGTAGATCCGTAGGAGAAGTGCACCATGTCGAGCATAACGTCCACAATGGACGCTTGCGTTATTTGCAAATAACGTTCGCCGCCTTTTTGATCCACAACACCGGTAAACGTGACAGTAAATTGAAAATTGTCTCCAATAACATCCTTTTTTCCTTTGCCGCTCATGTCGACTCCATCTATAATGGCGTCCTTATAATCGTAGTTAGACAGGTAAGTGAGTTTTTTCGTCAACACTGTTAAGGTGAGCGAAAAATCGGAATCCTCGATTTTGGCACTGAAACAGAACTCAACTCAGTTGATGCGTGCGGCTCGACTCGCTTACTCGACGTCTTTAATTTCGCTCTCCAAATGTCCGGATATTCTGATGTCAGTTTCGGATTGATCGAAATGTATAGGCGGATCAGATTTGACGGTGTAGGCCGGCACACTGAACACTTCAATGGATGGAACACCATACTCCTTTATCCCTATCAAAACGTTAGTCTCAACGATAATCCTTGAGGAATAACCTACCACGCTGTAACGTAACCAGGGCCGACTGAATGGCCACCTGCAGGCACTTGTTCAAATTTGGATCGCTTCGAGAACAAAACTGCAGTTTGGCTGTAACGTTAATAACTCAACCAAGCCGTCTTGCGTTAAGGTCACTACTTACAATGTGAATTCGCTGCACAGGCCAGAAATATGGCGAACGAAAGCAAGAGGAAGCGGGTCATTTCGAAGGTGGAACTCGGACGGTGTTTGCTGTTAAGTAGGAGACCTGTACAAAAGATGGGAACACCCTTGAATTGCTTTTTTTTTAATAGATTGGCTTAATCTCCAGTGTCTGCGACTGAATGGAGAGAAAGACCACCTGAGAGGGGGTCCGTTAACTTGGCCCCCCCACTGAGAGATTTCATAGTCGTATTGTTTTGAAATGAATGCGCTCGTTATGCGCCCATATGCGCCACCGATAATAACTCTTGCGCCATTATCGTTTTTTAGAAATCCGAAAAAACATTTGGGGGGGGGGCAGTGAACGTAGCCCCCCCCCCCCAAGTACGTATTTTGTCCCTTGTAACTAGGTCACCTGATACATTTGGTTATGCGCTCAATTGCGCCACTTGAATTAAAGCTAGCGCCATTACGGTTAAGCCATAAAACATTTTTAAAAAGTGGAGGGTCTAACTTAGAGTTTTCAAAAGTTATTTCCGGAAGTGCGTCCATTTTGAAAATATTTTACATCGATTCGGCCTTCGGAGTAACTCCTAAATACAAATTTTTTAAAACCTACCTATTTTACTTTCCCAGAATCGTTTAACTAAAGCTCCCAAAAAAACACCCTGTATAGTGTTTCTGAAACACTATAATGGCGCCAAGATTTTTGTTTACGGCGCATTTTAGCGCATGATGAAAGGTACGATGTAGTAGAAAAAACATGTTAAAAAACGTAACTTTTGAAAACGTTAAGTTAGCTCCCCCCTTTTTAAAAATTTTTTATGGCTTAACCGTAATGGCGCTAGCTTTAATTCAAGTGGCGCAATTGAGCGCATAACCAAATGTATCAGGTGACCTAGTTACAAGGGACAAAATACGTACTGGGGGGGGGGGCTACGTTCACTTGGCCCCCCCAAATGTTTTTTCGGATTTCTAAAAAACGATAATGGCGCAAGAGTTATTATCGGTGGCGCATATGAGCGCATAACGAGCGCATTCATTTCAAAACAATACGACTATGAAATCTCTCAGTGGGGGGGTCAAGTTAACGGACCCCCTGAGAGGTCTATCCTCCAAAGAAGGTACATCTATATTTTTCATAGCAAGTAGTAAGGCTCTTGTACGCATTAGAAGTGTTATCAGGCGTTGACCCCTAATTTTTTGTCTTTTTCGTGAGGAATTGATAATATTATCATATTTTCCTTTAGTTTATTACATTTGGGTACTTAGATAACCCCATTTAATTTTCGGCGCAATATTTTATAGTCATTATGCCTTTTTCATCTATCATTTCTGCACAGTCGCTTTACAAAGGATCTTAAGAGTAAACCGGTTCGACAATCACAAAAAATTGGGGTAGTTGCAGCTCAACCCATGGAAGGATAAACTTACCTGTTATGGAAGCGAGAATTACACCAACACACTTGGGGTCGAAAAGGGACGTTCACAAATGCCAATAATCTGCTATGAACTTTTATAGATGGGTTAACCCAGAGGCGTAACGAACAGTGTCACCGACAACATACGAGAAAAACTGAGAACGTTTAAAACGACTATTACTAGTTCATAATCAATTTTCGGTTTTAAATCAAAGGTTATAGGAATTTTTTGGAGATTAATTAACAAGATTAGTTTATTTATTTTATTGCCCAACGTAGTTTATCTTGAATCAGCCCATTTATTTATAGATTGTTGTAACTTTAACGCTCACTGCCTTTTATTGTACCCGGAATGGAATTTCTGTTGACTAGACGCTTAATTAATAGCGATACCGGAATTTAATAGTCAATGTTGTGCGAGATACCCTCGTGAACACACGGACCGCCAACAAAATCCAAGAGATGTTACCACCACCACAGTGGGCGTTGCAACACCGGACCCACCACCAACTAGCGTCCCAGACGGCGGACGCTTTATAAGCGGCACCATCGACCATCACAAGAGCCAGTATGAGCTCTTATTAATAAATTGTGTTTAAAGTTAACCTCAAATTTGTTATATTTTTCATTCTACATTTTTTTTAAATGGTTTAAACGGTACGCAAAATTTGGGATAAACCAACGGCAATAATTCAGGAAAACAATAAAACGTCGGATTTCATCCGCTAACTTTGGAGTGGGGAAATTTATTATTACATCATATTTCTGGCGATCTGGACTGATAGCTTCAATAGATATCATGTGACCTAGATACGTTACTTCGGTTTTCAGAAATTGGCATTTGGATGGGATCAATTTTAGATTATATAAACGACATCTTTCAAATACATTAATTAAATTTAAATTATGGTGCTTTATACTACATCCAGAAAAGATAATATCGTCTACGTAAAGAAAAGCCTGGCATTGCAATTGATATCATACGTGAGAAACTACTACTTAAAATATTTAATCCAAATGCTAAACGTTTATACTGATAGTGATCATTGTTTGTCGAAAATGCCGTTACGTTACGTTGGTATAACCCTTGAAGAGGAATTATCCAATAACTATGAGTTTGCTTAATTCCAAAATTCACTTATTCATTTGGTATTATTGTCATACTACAACTACCATAGTTAAAGGCGCCTTTAAAATATTTAGCCTGTGGGGCACTTTTCGAAAAACGAAATATAGGGGGTTGTAAGTGAGCTCTTGGGCCACCACAACGCCCTAATCATCCACATGCAAAACCCCCTCAATTTTTTATAAATTAATTTTAATTGTAACTTGCATTATTCGTATGTCGCGCCATTGACAAGAAAAGCGAATTTTTCGAACTGTGGAGCACTTTTCGAAAAACGACATATAGGGGGTTGCAGGTGAGCCCTTGGACCACCACAACGCCCTAATCCTCCACATGCAAAACTCCCTCAATTTTTATAAATTAATTTTGAATTGCAACTTGCATTATTCGTATGTCGCGCCATTGACAAGAAAAGTGTTTTCCCGAGAAATTTTGGTGCAGTCGATTTTTGGTAAAAAAGGAAGGTGCCTTTTTTTGAGGTCCGAAAAGAAAATTGTCTTAGATCGACCCGGAAAAAATTTTCTCTTATAGAATGTGGCCTGTAGAATCCATAATTTCAAACAGTTCCAAGATTGGGCTACTAGTTCAAAAGTTACAGCCCTTTGAATTTTTTTTCGAAATTTGGTTTCTAGTCTATAACTTTTGATTGAGAAGTCTAATCGAAAAAGTACGAATTGTTTTGGATTCTACGCACCAAAATTAATAAGAAAAAGTGTTTTCCCGAGAAATTTTGGTGCAGTCGATTTTTGGCAAAAAAGGAAGGTTATACACTGCCTTTTTTGAGGCCCGAAAAAAAAATTGTCTTAAATCGACCCGGAAAAGGAAAAGGAAAAATGACAGCAGTCGATGGTGCGAATTTCACAAAAAATATAATGAAAAATTCAGGAGTCGCGTGACAGTTGTTGTGGAAGGATTATGAGACCCTCTTCTCCATATTGTAGAAAATGTAGAACCTAGGGGTCTGGGGGGTATGGAATACCCCCAAGCAAGCGATAGAATCGCCGAATTTCCGAAAAATGATGTTAAAGTCTCGGTACTCTGATTATGGTTTCTGGAAATGGCAATGGAACTATCGTCTCCTGGGGGGTATTCCATACCCCCCAGACCCCCCGGTTACACAATGTTTCACAAACCGTTTAGATTTCAGGAGTCTCTTGACAGTTGGTGGGGAAAGATTATGAGAGCCCTTCTCCATACTGTAGAAAATGTAGAACCGGGGGGTCTGGGGGGTATAGAACCCCCCCCCCCCCCCACCAAACGGGAGAATCGATTACTATTTCCAAAAAATGATGTTAAAGTCTCGCCACTCTGATTATGGTTTCTGGAAATGGCAATGGAACTATCGTCTCCTGGGGGGTATTCCATACTAACTACTAGATAAATAACTAGTAGCATCTCAACGAACGAGCGGACGAACGGACGGACAAAGTGGCCACAATAGCGCATTTTTTTTTATTTTTGTGGAAATGCGCTAAAAAGGAAGGGAAATGGCGATGAAGGAGATGAAAATAAGGACAAGAAAGCAAGAACCAGCGCAGAAAGCGATGAAAGTCGAGCAGTTGGAGTAGACAAAGAGAAAAGAGACAGAGAATGCGGTGTAGGGAAACACGACGCAGGGGGCGAAAGAAGCGACACAAGTGAACGAGGTGAAAGAGAAAAAGAGATCAAGAGAAAAGAAAACAACGCGGAATAGAAATAGAAACGAAAAAGGAGATGAAAGGAGTGACAGCGCAAAAGACAAACGAGACGAAGACAAAGACGAAACAGGTAAAGAAGGCGGAGAAGATTGAAAAGGTAGGAAGATGATGGTGACTAGGTGAATGAAGACAAAAACTCAAATACAGTAAAGATAGCGAGGTGAGAAATGCGGAGAATGCAGGAACACGAAATAGGGTGAAGATTGCGAGGAATGCGAAAAATAAAAAAGAAGAAAGAGGTGATGGGGATGAAGGTGGTGAAGGAAGCGAAAAAGGGAAACGAGGACGAAGAAAGAGGAGAGGATTAAA